GAAACCTTAACCTTAAAATGACGAAACCTTACACTCAAAAAGACGAACCCTAGTGCTCCTGCTAAAAAAAAAATTATTTTCTTTGAATTAAGGATATATCCGTTAAAATTATCAAATTAGGATATCCATATTTAATCCGAATTGTCGGATTACGGATCGAAATACTATTGCTGGCATACATGTGATTTCAGATACTGATCTCTGAATATTATGAATGTTAATTCAAAGAAAATAATTTTTTTTTTAGCAGGAGCACTAGGGTTCGTCTTTTTGAGTGTAAGGTTTCGTCATTCTCAGGTTAAGGTTTCATCTTTCATCAGAAGAATTTGGGAGTTCGACTTTCGTCAGAGGTTTCGTCTTTTGGGGGCTTAGGTTTCGTCTTTCGTTATCATGCGAAAAATGTTTCGTCTAATAACAATAGATAGGTCTCATGATAGTATTGAGTTTTTAAAGAATCAGGAAAAAGATATTTTGAAAATTTGCGTGAAAAAAGTTCGTTATTGTTCAACAAAACGTTCCGCAATCAAAATGATTAAAATGGTCACTAACTAAAGCTGAATTTAAAAATACTACAGATATGGTTAACTACATTAACGAATATAGTGTTAAACGCGATTATTTTTATACTTATAACGAAACCAACGGTCATGGGAGCAAATGAATGAACGTCAATTTGGATATATGTTCGGGGATGAAGCTGAAATCGGATGATGTTGAAATTTTGGCTTATTTTATTATGAAATTTTAAAAAATTTTCGAGCCTTTTCGTTAGGGGATTTTTTAGGGTTAGGTTAGGGCTTAGGGTTAGTGTTGTTAGTAAAAAAATATATGTGAATTTTAGTAGGTATTATAGATTTAAATGGGGACTCTAAATTTCAGCATCATCCCGACAATTATTATGCAAGCGATTGATATTTACCATTTGCATAATCAAGATCAGCAGCTAGCTACTCTTTTTGAAGAATTGAATATTAATGAAATTTTACGTGAAGTTCTTGAATATGTTGAATTGAAGGATATTGATTCAATTTTCACAAATAATGATTTATCAATATTGGTTACATCATAATGGTACAATTTCGGAAATTTATTCAAAAATCTTTCAAATGATGGAATATTACCCAACTACTTTTGATATAGCAGCTCAATTAAATACTGGTCACGATTTTGTTCTTAAGCGTGATCGTTGTAATGTCGTGTGTGAAACTGTTTCTGATTAAACTCTTTTGTGAAGGTTATTCAAATCAAGCAATGTTGGGGTTAATTATGGGTTATTCGGCTAGCGTAAAATATTCTAATGAATTTTCTATTTGGCATGATGGTTGCCTAGAAAATGAATTTGACATGTATTTTATATGGTAAATATATATAAGGTAGTTTGGGTGCAACAATACGTCAATTATTAAAAGATCTTTGCACTTATTGACTAAAAAATTAGGAATAAAAACCGAAACAGTTAAATTAAATGTAATTAAATAAATTGTAGCGTAATGATAAACAAGAAACGTGTCGGGCAAAAATGCAGTGAGTTATGCGAAATATAACTAATCTTTGTGTAGGATAGAGTAGTTCTATAGCAAATCAGTGTAATTTTTTTTTATTTGTTACTGCTTGAATTGTTATTCATGATAGAAATTCTCATGTTTTAGCTAAAGAATTATTTTACCCAAGCTTATCCATAAATAAGGGAAGTGTCATTTATCATCTGATTTTTTTGGCAGGGAGTGGGTGCCAAAATATCATGCTAATAGATCACATGTATATATGTTTATATAATCGTAATCATTTGAGGGAGGGGAATTTTACTATTTATACAAAAAATCAGCTGATAAATGACGCTTCCCTAACAAAGGTCGAGCATTTTTAGATGAGTTCTTATAATAATTACATATTGTATTAAAAGATAAATTTAAAGAATTAAAAAAATAAAGAAATACTCTGAACTTTTAATAAACCTACTATGTAAAAGATGGATATTCAAAAATAATAAAATAAAGCATGGTCTTTTAAGTAAAATGATTTACTAATTAAACTAACAGATTAGAAAAGAATTCATGCTAGTATGTGTATATAAACTACAAACCTTTTAGAAAACTGGCTATTTGGATTGAGATTAAGAGAATATATAAGAAAATTAAAAGTATTGCTGTTCAGAAGTATCAGGTATTGATTTTTTTCCGAATCCTATTTCTAATCGGATTGAATAAAAGAGTGCCAAAATTATCATTTTTGTAATTAAAATTATTAAAATTTTCTTGACGAGCATAAAATACTACAGCGAATAATAGTTACATTACGCATGAAAGCAATTTAATTTTATTTTTGCACATCTAATTACATAGAAATAAAGCAAAAGAATGATAAAAAAAAAAATAAAATAAAAACGCCTAAAAACAAAAAGTTTCCTATCAAGTCTCTGCTAAACTTACAAAGGTCAAAGTAATAACTTGTACATAAAATGAAATACAAAAATACAACGATTCTTAAAGTTTTTCGTTTATTCAAACGAATAGCATATCATAGAAATTCACTCGCATTAATTCACCTGATCAACAAATGCACCAACTTCATTATTATTAGAAGAATGATTTATAGCGACTGATGTTGAACCTTCTTCATCTTGCACAATATTATCAGTTTCAGCAGTGTCATTAGTGGTGTTAATATCATCCTCATGACAACTCTGACCTAATTGATTTGAGCTGGTTGTTGACGACGATGCTAAAGTATCTCGATAATCTTGATATGCGGAAAGAACCTGATGCGTAGGAGTCGGAACAAGAACGTATAAAAGTTCGCGTTCACCCTCACTGGGTTTATCGTGACGAAGTCGAAGTTCTTTACTAGCAATTTCACGTTCATATCTCTTTCTATCTGCATAAGCCATTTCAAGATATTTCTTGAAAATTATTACAAAATGATTTTGGTCATTTATTGATTAATAAATTACTGTAAACATAGCAAACGAAATAATAATGGTATACATCTTTTTCTGGTTCCGGTACTTCTTTCCACTTTTTACGCACAAATTTAAATCTTTCTTTGGGCGTAACATGTGCCGTACCTCCTGAGGAGTAGATATCTTGCATAAAATAATTAAAAGCACTACGTGGTCTTTTTGGTGAATATTCATTAACTGCACGCCTTTTTTCTGGCGATAGAATGATGAATACGAATATAAGAAAAAAAAAATATATAGTATATTCGATAATAAATAATCCTGGAATACGCACCATCTTGAGATTCGATTTGTTTACCCTTACGTTTCAAGCTTGGTCTTTCCGGTTCAGGCGTAAGTAAAATATTAGGACCATCACTTGACGGACTAGATGATTCTGGTGTGAGAATTACATTTTGACTTGGAGGAGCCGAAAAAGTTTCATCGGTTTCTAACGAAATATTTGTATCCGTTTCATTCGGAGTTTCTTGAACAGTTGTGACGCTGGATGATGGCGGAAAAATATCCGCATTTACGCCATGTGGAATTTCATGAACGTTTATGTTGCCAGAAGATTCAGAAATACGTTGTTGTACGTCTTTAGGAAGTAACTCCATAAGGTCACGAAATGCGATCAATGCCGTGCGAAGAGCCATTGTACCATCAATAAATGCTCGTTCAATCTAATTTAGGAAAAATTAATATCATCACAGATTAAATAACAGACTTTTAAATAACAAACTTTGGAACAAAAAGGTTACCATTTCGATTTTTTCATTGAACTTTTTATTTAAGTCTATTATCTTTGTGCTTTCTCCGGAACTTTGTTCATCTTTTTCGTTAAGTTTATTTGTCTCTCCAGCGGAAGAATCGTTCCGTGTAACACTTTCAATAGTATCATTCACATATTTTAAATTATCAACACCATCATGACGTTCCAAACAAGAATTATTCGTTGTTGATTCTTCTAAAGTATGTCGTAAGCCATTTTCTTCCAAATTTTGAGTATCATCATCATTGAATTCACCTAACTCAAAATCACCCACATCACCACGATTATCAGAAGGCATCGAATCAATAACTTCAGCAGTTTTGGGGTCAAGCAAACCTTCCATCACATCATCTGATGGAACCGAAATGATGGATACATTTTTTTCCTTAACATTAGTGGATGATTTATCCACATTGATAGAATTTTCTATAATATCTGTTGTAGAACTCGACATGTAAGCCATGCCAACAGCAACTTCTTCTTCTAATTCTTCTTCAGTATCATCAAGGTATGAATATTCACCATCACCATCTTTATGATGAACATTACCGGTAATTTGTTTATTAAGATCTTGATCTTTACAATATGATACGAATTCAGCAGTTCTGATTTCCGAAAATGAAGAACGTCGTGAATTATCAATTTCCATAGATGAGACAACACGTTCTTGTTTTAAGATAATTGATTGTTGGGATGGATTCGAGAAAGTACGAGTAATTCTTTTAAAGTCATGATCCAAAACAGAACGCCCTGTCGTACCGCGAGTTGTAAACATATCAATTCTTCTCAATGTAAACATTTAAGAGAACAAGAAAAATAAAAGATCATTATGTGAATAAGTAAATAAACAATATTTATAGTCGTCATCAAATTTAATAACTGACCTCTTTTGAAAATCTGACAGAACGAGATGAAATCAGCAAAAAATTGGCTCAACCAATTTAAAGACTGTTCGATGACAAGTGTTGATTTCTATAGTGATGCGACAATGACGCAACTTTATCACATTGATGTATTATAAATATGATTTATTCCTTTTGTCATATTTAGTTCGGTCATAATAATTTGAAACGTTGATTGTCACAGCTCACGTATTTTTTTTTTTTTAAACTGCCGTTTTTTTTTTATGGATTAGATATAATGATATCGATCATGATTCTATATGTGAATGATGACTTAAATAGTCATATGCATAAAACTTCTAACAACTCTTTATGAAGGGTAAATATACTATTTATTGAACTGTTCTTATTCACTTAAATTATGCCACGTATTGTAGTAAATTTATAGACTATTTGATATCGATTACTCGATTACTAAGAAGGCACAAAATCACCAATATGTATCAAATTATAATATATACATAAAAATTGAAGCAAAAAAGCAAATTAGAAGATGAAAAATGCCCTATGATTCAAATAATATCATTATAAATTTGATTATATATTAATTTAAGTTCAGGCATAGTAATTTTTTTCAAGCACTTTACTATTTTACTAATAAACTTTTTGCACTGATTTGTCTTGTGCTTTTTGGCTAATAATTTATATGCACCTTTTAATTACACTTTGCATTTAGAAACATGTGGCATATTGAATCAAAAAAAAAGTTTAGCTTAAATGACAATATACAAAAATAATAATATGTGAAGCTATAAATTGATAATATGCGAAAGACTATAAAACAATAATAGCAAAAAGTTATTCTTGTTATATTTTTAAATTTTTTTTAACAAAAGCTAATTTGAAACAAATGCATTTATTTTTTTTAGTTAAACACCTAACTGTAACAAAAGCTGAATCTTAAAATGATTTAGCATTAAAATTATCAATTAAATATGATAAAAAACTTCTTTTAATAATTTTTAATAGAGCTAATTCATAACAAATACTCATGATTTTTTTTGTTATAACAAAAGCTGATCTTAAAAAGCATCAGCATTAAAACCATCACAAAAGTTTACAATAAAACTATATATACAATATAATGAAACATTCTTTACACAATTACAGTTTAAATTTTTATTTAGCAAAACCAATTTATAACAAATACTCATGATTTTTTTGGTTATAATATATATATGATAACAAAAACTAACCTTAAAGTGCATTAGCATTAAAACCATCACAAAAGCTTACAATAAAACTTTACATACAATATGATAAAACATTTCTTTATA